CGAAACTCGAAACTTGTATCGAAACTCGAAACTCATATCGGAACTCGAAACTTGCATCGGAACTCGAAACTCATATCGGAACTAATGATGCCTCTCGAAAGTCATCGAAACTCGGGGACATAACCCAGTGATCTACATGACGTCATTTTGTTTACTAGCACTAGTGTTCCGCACAGTCCGGTTCCGGGCGGGTTTTAGTAAGAACCGTACCCGAACCGCTTATGAAGTCGGGTTCTTATGTAGTCCCGGAATCAGATCCACTAGATCCGGAACCGACCCGGTATAGAAATATAAATTTAAAATTTTCATAATTAAACAAATAATCAAAGATTTTTTTTTTAAAACCTGCTACGCTTTACTATATTTATTAATATTTTAATTATAAAACCTAATACTGATTACATAGTAAAGTTCTTTGTTTACACTATAAAAGCAAGCAATTACAACCTACTATAAGAGCAAGCAACCACAACCTATTGATTTACTTTTTTTGATTTTTTTTGTCATGTTTTTTTTTATAAATCAGCAGTAAAAAGAAAAAAGAAATTAAAGTTCTTTAAATTCTCATCACCATGATCTTAAACACATTGCTGCTCATATAGTTTTGTCTACCAATTGATTTCTTTTGTTACTAATCATATCTTCACTGATATTGAAAATTGTTTACTTGGGATATTCATGGCTAGTACAGGGAGATAATTTCTAGCAAACTTAGCAAGTTTTGGGAAAATTGTATTATTATCTTTTCACTATTTCAAGATATTCATGTCTGAATTAACAAGAGGTATCATAAGGTAGGTATCTAATTCACTTTTTTGTTCAACATGAACTCATTTATAAATTCTTTTTGTAATATCTAATGAAAACAATTTAAGAGCTAAGTAAGTATCATCATAAAGAGGCATGTAGTAACTTTCATATTTGCTTTTAATACTAAATATTATATAAAATAGATTAATATTTACTAATGTTATAATAAAAAAAAACAATATAATGAATTAAATCTATTATAATTATTAATTAAAATTGATCAATTATAATGAATTTAATTTTTCATACTTGCATATTTTTAATCTAAATAATAAGAGTTAATGACTAACTAAGTTCTTCAAAGTATTGAATTTTTAGCTTTAGATCCAAAACTATCACTATGAGATAGAATAAACTTGTTTTATAACAATATTCTAGAAGTTTGTTCATTGCAGTATCATATTCTTGAATAAGCCACTGAGATATTTCATTATTATTTTTAGCTTCTTCAAGGGTCTTAAACAATTCATAATAAAGAAGCACAGCTATTAATAATATTGGATATTCTAAAGATGATATAATAGTTATTACTTCTTTAAACAGTTGCAAAATGTCTACAAGTTGCTTTAACTTATTTTATTTTACTTTAGTAAGAGTATTGTTTTTTAATGTCTCTTCATTACAAGCAAGAGTATCTAATACAATTTGTAACTTCAATACCCATTCAATCATTTTAAAAGTAGAATTCTACCTAGTTATAATATCAAGAATCGGTTTCAATACACTTTTATTTTTTATTTAATATGCTGTTTTAAACTTTTTATAAAGTAGTCATAAACCTCTAATACTTTTAATTAAAGTATACAACTTTCCAACCTCACTACCTACATACTCAAGTAAATTTTGCATGGCAAGATTTAAAATATAACCAAAACATCAAATTGATTATTGCATACTATTAAAGTGAATCTTATTTAATGCTACAAAAATTAAAAGTTTATTTAAAAATCTAATATAGCCTATATATTATCATATGTTATTACAACTAATTTAGATATTATGCTCATAGATTGAAGACAATCCTCAAATATATTAAAGATTGCTACACTAGTATGAGACTCATTCATATGAATAAAATCTAACAATAAATGTTTTATGTACTATGAATTATCCAAGTAATAAATTGTAACTGCTATAAATGATTTTTTATATGTGCTTGTTGTCCATATATCAGTTGTTATTGAGATACCACTTGGGATTTCTTGTAGCTTTTGTTAGAGTTTTCTATATTCATCTTCAAACATGTTCATTATATGCCTTTTTACTGAGTCAGCAGAAGACACGAATAAAAAATATTTAAAATTTAATAAGTACTAAAATAATAGTAATATATAAAATCACTTACAGTAAAAAGAGTGGATAGTAGTCTTATTCACTTCTTTTGTTATAAGTTCTCTTATATATGAGTAATGCCAAGAAGAAACTAAACTTCAATTAATAATTGAAGTCTAGTTTTCTTTTAGTGTTACCTATATTATCAGTAACTTACTTTTAGCTTGGGGTTCTAAATATGTAATTATAACTTTAAGTCCATTATCTTTAACTAAATAAAATAGTTAGTTATATATAACAATCTATTCCTTAACTATATTACATAGTATCTTTTGATCAAATTGTTCATAACAATCACTTTGCTGATTTTTTTCAGCATATCCAAGACAGAAGTGAATTGTTTTTTGGTACTAAATTCAGGCACTTTATTTATATGAGTTTGATACTTAAAATATTTCTAAAGATTTGAGGTTGACCCATTCAAATATTTTAATAATTTATTGCAAATGCTGTATTTGACAAAAGATCTCTCTTTTTTAAAATACTTCTATACTAATGATTCATTATTAATCATAGTTGCAGATTCTGGTCCTGATTCATTTTGAAGATTAGGTTCATTAGTTGTTTCATCCAAGTCAATTGGTTTGTTTAAATGAATTGAATTGCTAACTTCAAACTCTCAAGATAGTGATAATGTTAACATAATTGTATATTTTTTTTTTTTGTTTTATATATATATATATATATACTTTTTTTTTATTTATTTATTTTTTCTTCAGTATTATTTAATGTTTGATTTTTCTGCTTATGTAATAAGTGTAAAGGTAGATATTATAGCAAATGTTAAAGAACAAGTATCGTTATATCTCAACTCAAATTGCACTAGATTATATACAACTATTTATATACAGTATTTAAATTAATAATTATTGATCAATTGTAAAATGATTAATTAATTAATATCAATTAATTTACCTGAGATCCATGTATGCCACAAATAAAAGAGTTTAGTACTCAACCAATTTTACACTTTGTAAAAAATTTTGTTCGACTATAGTTGGAAGGAGGGAAAAGATATAAATGGCCAGTTTTTTACAAGCAAACCTTATATAATGACAACAGTCTTGGCTTGGATGTTAAGATTCTACAAGATTTTATAAATTTTTTTTTTAGTGATCTAGATTTTATGTTTTTTTTTATACCAAATTTTTTTGTTACACAAGATATGATGAGTTCAGGTATAATCAATCGGATATTAATCAGGATCCAGAACTGAAATTATTCTTAAAATGATGGACCCGAATCCGAACTGGGAGTCAGTTCCAGGTCGATTCCAGATCTTCGGTTCAGGTCTGCGGAACACTAATAAAATCAGCTAAATTATACTCTAACCCTAGGTCTAAACCTAACCCTAATTTTAATAAAAATGAAATATTTTTTTAAAATGAAATACTTTATCGAAGTAAATATTTTTTTAAAATGAAATACTTTGAAATATTTTTTTAAAATGAAATACTTTATCGAAGTAAATATTTTTTTTTTAATTTTGATAAAATAAATTTAGGAAATTGATATTCGTACCCCCCAAATTTGATATTTAAACCCTCTTGAAATTAAAAGATTTTTGAACTTTGAGCGAAGATATCTCAACAACCATCTTATCAAAATCGATAATAAAATTTTTTGTTTGAATTTTATATATCTGTAGAATTTAAATAAAAAAAATTTATTCTCAAAATAAGTAAAAAAATTCAAAATGACTATTAAAATAGAAGCTGGATATCTCGACAACCACCCGAGAATTCAACCAAAAAATTTTTATTGATATTGATTAGGTGGTTGTCAAAATATATTCACTCAAGGTTTTAAAAAAATTTTGGCACAGCTTCTACTTTGATCGACATTTTGAATTGTTTACTAATTTAAGCAAAGTTATCTCGATAACCACCTGACCAATTTCGATGAAATTTTTTTGAATTCTATAGGTCTGTAGAATTCAAATAAAAATTTTTTGATTGATTTTGGTTAGGTGACTGTCAAGATATCTTCACTCAGTTTTAAAAAAATTTTGGCACAGCTTTTATTTTGATAGACGTTTTGAATTGTTTACTAACTTTGAGTGAAGATATCTTGACAACTATCTGATCAATTTCGATTAAATTTTTTTTGTTTGAATTCTACAGATTTATATAATTTAAATAAAAAAATTTTTATCGATTTGGGTCAGGGGGTTGTTGATATATCTTCTTTCAAAGTTCAAAAATCCTTAATTTTTATGATCAACATAATTTGGCCTGAAATTATAGAACAATTTTTATGCAGTTAAACCCTGGATTGGATAATCTTATGAGTGACAAAAATACCAAGACAACTTTTCAATAATACCTAACTTTGATAAACATGTTTGACTTTTAATAAACTTTTGAGTTCAATACACTTTTGAGTTTCAATACTACTTTCGAGTTTCAATACCACTTTCGAGTTTCGATACTACTTTCAAGTTTTGATATCACTTTCAAGTTTCAATACTACTTTCAAGTTTCGATATTGATATTTCGATACTATAGGATTTATCAAAACAGTTTCAACACACCAAAATAGTTTCGAGAGGCATCATTAGCCGATCCCCAAAAAAGGAAGTCAATAGTGGCTTAGTAGTGTAAACTGGGAAATATAACTAGGCCGGACTCCGTCTGAGGTCATTTGGACAATCTGCAGTATATATTTCAGTTATGCTGATCCTTGACTTTTATAGGGATCCTAGCATTATAATAATTATAATGATTATAACAATCAGAAGAAATATCCCTTAATTTTTCGTATAATATACTCTACTATAAGATCTACACATTGAATTTTACACTTTTTATTAAGAAAATTCAATGAAATTCAACTTTCACTTCTATGTTAGCCCTGCAATGTCGCAACTAACTACACCTAATATAATAATGTTAATGACTTACCTAGTTCTATTTTTTAAATAAAAAACTTACCAACTTTAACGAGCTAAAAACCAAAAAAGATCTTTCACTTAAATAAATCAGCTGAACTTCTACAATACTGTGCCACTCTGTAAATTTTTTGTTTAAAGTAAGTTTTTGTGACATTCCAGTTTATTTCTGTGATAATAAAAGTTCAAGTGGCCTATTAATTAACTCCTAATCAGTCTTATAGTAGCCTATAAACAGCAACAGACTATCACCATAGTGATACAAACTACTACTACAGTGACACAAACCACTATAATGATACAAACTACTACAGTAACACAAACCACCACAGCGATACAAACTACCACAATGACATAGACTACTATCACTACAATAATACAAACTACTACAACAATTACAATAGAAAAAAAAACCAAATAAGTAAGTTCTTAATAATATAGATAAATAAGAAATAACAATATGAAAGGCATTAAACTATTTTAAATCACTTCTAGATAAGCAATTAGATGAGGACTTCTTACTTTTTAGTAAGTTTGGAATAAATGAAGAAGTATTTGACTTATATGATCCTGATAGTGATTTTAATATTCTTGACAATGATAGTATAAGTTCTGCTACTACTACAGATAGTTTTGTTATTGAAAACGTTAGTAGAAATAATGAGATAGAACTATTTATGTTAGATGAAACAGCCTTTGAAAAGGCAAAAATATTAGCAAATAAAAAAGAATCTAATTACGATGATGAAATTAAGTGGGAAGATTTAGATTATGAATCTTCAGAAACTACATCATTAACTATAGAGTCTACAGAATATTTAAACTATTTTCTCGAAAATAACAATAAAAAAAAAAAATCAAATATTAACATCATGTGTTCTTCTATATTTAGTTAATGGTCAAATAAAGTGGTATTCTAATTATAATCAAAAATCTTAATGGCCTTTAGTACAACTAGTTGGTACATGGAAAATTAATAGTGAAGCATTTGAATCTGTAAAAAATAATGACCAGTTATATACATTAGGAGTTTGTAGATCTTATTTTGGTTTTGATCAAAATGACCTTCACAATCCAAATCTCAAAAATTCATAAAGTATAGGAACAAGTTGGATATATTGTCACTACTGTTTGTTTTGTAGTAAAAACAAATATTTTTTTAGCTGTGGGACCAGCTATATTCAATATACAATACATATTATAGGATATGATATGCAAGCACTATGTATTGGCCTCAAGAAATATTCAGTATTTATTACAAAGCATATTGACATCACTGAAAACAATCAAAATGCATCAAATAACAATGATCTCAATAAATATCAACCTAGATACATTTGTACTCAGTGTTTTGAGTTATATGAAGGATATTTATTTCAATGCCCAGGTAGTAGAAAACAACTCTCATCATGTAATGACAAATATAAAGATGATACGATATAAGCACTTGAGCTTCTAGGTCAGTAGATTTTAAATATAGTGACTTTAAACAATCCTGAGAAAAAAAAACAATCATTAACATACTTTAGTTCAGTATTATCCTTTTTTGACAAATCTAAATCACAAATACAAAACCCTCCTAGTCTCTTGTATATAAAAATAGCCCTCTGGCTTGAACAAATCAATTTTACAAAAGTATTAGAAAGTGACAATGAGATTATACCTGAAATATCAAATAAAAATGAGGAAATTTTGAGTATTAATATATAGAGATCTTGGCATGAAGTGCAGCAGAATAAGGAAATTCTTGAGAACCCAAGTACCTTAGCTAAATTTTGGTCTGCCTTTTCGAAATACCTATTAGAGTTTTTTAATAGACTTATTACTGTATTACAAAAAAAAAAAGGTAATATAGTTAATAAAAAAAGAAAACAAAGAGGTTTGGAGGCAAAGCCTTTTGATCAAATTCATGTAGAAAAATAATAGTTTTTTTTGTATCTGTAATTCTTACAATTGATTTCCTATCTACAGATATTTGGTTAACTTATGTTATAAGTTCTTTAGCTCGTAAGTCTAAGTTGCTAACCTTACTATATAGTATTCTGTGTACTGCTAGTGTCGTATCTCATACTTATAGATATGAACGACAGTTAGAAAGAAATAGAATAGTTAAATCAAATCTGAATAAAAGACTAATAAAGAGTGATAATGTTTGGAATGTAGCAGTTGTAGATAATATCGACTTTAAAGAAAGTATATTTAAATTCGAGAATATTTATGATGATACCTGTAGTACTTCCCATATAATATTATGATTAGTATTTCAGTTTACATTACTGATGTCTATTAACTCTCTTATTGTTACAGATCTATAAACTAACATTAATAATAGTAGTAATTTGTTTGGGGAATCTGACTTTATTAAAACTCAAAATTATAAACATGATATTATTTTTAGTAAATTAAATGAATTAGATAGCTAGAATCTTGATAGTGTATATCATGAACTTACTAAAAATATACCTTTAGAATATCAAATTCTCTGCTCTAATCTAGTTATCCTAATACCAGATAAACAACCAAATTGCGATTTAAATATATACAATTCTTGTAAAATGTATTTCAATAATTTTGAATTATCAGAAGGTGAATATATAGATATTGCTTCTGATGAGACGATTTATTGCAGACTAATTTCATATTGTGATTCTAAAAAAAATAAATTGGTTCACTTGCTTTTAGGTCAATGACACATATCAAAAGCGATGTGTGCAAATTTGATTACAATTTTTTCTAGGTATAGGATTTTTGCCTTAGCAGCTGATCTTGGAGTACGTTACTTAAATAAATTAGAGAAAGTCATCGATTATGATGCAACTTTTCATATTTTAGAATTAATTTGGATAGCTGTGAGAATAGCATTAACTAAATATTTAAAAAATAAAAATCAAAATGAAATAATAAATGACATTGAAAAGGAAAACAATATAATAAAAGTTTGGTTTCTTTATTTTCATTGGATGGGATATATTATTAATTATAAAATTGGAATACGTAGAGCTAATTATGATTTATAATTTTATTTACTCAAAGTATTTTCTTCTTTGTTTTTAGTTGCTAGTAAAAGCAATTATGCTCGATCAACCATGTATTATTTAGCTTAGGTTTCTGAAGATCCTATTTTACAGCAATTACTTCGTCATGTGTATTCAGTAAATCTTATATGTCCTGGTCACTATTTCACTTTTGATGAAGTGTTAGAGGTTTTTGAAGTAAAATTCGTAAACAAAATATTAAATCAAATATAATAGATAATGAACAACTTAAATTGCAAATATTATCAGTTCAGTCCAAAAAAGATAGAGTACAAATACTTTTATCAGAATATGTAGGGGATTTAGTTACAGTTAATAAAGATTGCAATATTTAATCACGAAAAGAAGTTATATGGAAACTTGCTAAAAATCTGACTACAGTATTCCAATTGCCTAATCCAACAACTCACGAACTTTTTTTAAATGCAAAAAAGATAAATGAAATAGGTTTTTCTCATATATCAACATGTTATATACAAGGAATTAGTAGATTACATTCTATCTATTGTCAGGAAATTTTAAAAACTGAGGAACAGTCTGTTAAAGGTCAAAGAGGACATAATATAACTACATACAAGTTATTGAGTTTGTTAACTAGTAATGATAAAAAAAGAAAAAACATTATAATTAGTAAACCTGCTAAAAATGATGAATCTAAAAATATCCCCCTTCCAAACATATGCGTAAATCAACAAGTAATAATATGAAAGAAATTCTTTCCCAATTACTTACTTGTACTTCTTTTTCAGATAATCAATTGTTATATAATGTTTTTTATGAACTCCAAGATATTGAATCAGGATGGACAAAAGAACATGTTATAACGTATTAGAGAAATCATAAAAAATAAATGAATTAATCTCATAAATAATTTTGCTAGTTTTTTATTGTTTAGATCGTTATTAAATATCACAAAACAACACAAAAAAAAAATCATGGTCCTAGCTCTCATACTAATCTTTTAGACTGAATCAACGATATCTGTTATTCATTATCTATTATATTAATTTGAATAACAAACTTTACTTCAAAGACCTTTAATGCTTCATTGCTTGTCCAAAAATTTCATATTAGGTATTTCAAGAAGCTACGTATTAAAATCATAAATTGTCAAAAATAATGAGTAAAACTACTAATAGTATATAATATTTACTATATTTCATTAAGAAACACATCCAACATCAAATTGCTAATAGAATCACTACTCAATATATTTTAAATACCTCTTATCTTAGAATGCCTAACTATTTTGATAGTAAATCCAATATTGTGCTACCTAATACATTCATCACTTTCAGCAGATTTTTTGCATTGAAATTTTACGAGCTTTCTTGTCTCTAATTTTGCGAGACTCAAAATCACTACCTTCAGGCATTGGATTCATAATATTCGTCCCTTGATATATTGTTTTCAATTATTATTGAATTGCATCTATCATTGTCACTATCTGACCTTTTAATTAAATCTTTACATATTTGGCAGTGCCTATACCATGTTTGTAACAGAATCCAAAATTATGTTGTCCACTGAAATCAACACTTTTGCAGATTTAATACTGCTCAAACTTCTTTTTTTCATCCTTTGCAGTGCATTCGTTTAATAATAAACTTTATATAGCATTGCCATTAAAAGAAACCAACATTAACAAAGTTTAAATACTGTTTAAACACTTTCTATTC